AAAATAATTTTCTCAGACTCTGGATCGCTCTTTCAACAGCGTGATTTATCAGAGAAAAGCGGCGTGTATCGTCGTTCACATGACAAACAAGCATTCGTTGGAGCGAAACGATACACGGGCCGCGTGAACGCGCACCGGATGCGTGGCGATTTTACCGTTAAACCGTAGAGGACCGCGTGCCATTCTAAACGGGACTAATGATTAATAAATCGATTTCTCCGAATTTATAGGATGCTGGATAATTATGACAGGGGTGAGGTGACACCACCGCCGGTGAGCAGCTATGGCGGTTCCCCTGGACTCTTGGCACTTCATTCCTCGCTTTATGCGACACCCACGTCGAGGGCCTACGACATCGAGTCGAATATCGACGGCAACGACAGTTCCATGCCCATCGATACCCAAATCATTTCGGTACGTAAAGCTTTTAAATCTTAAAGGTGAATTTAAACCTTGCCGATCGAGGCGAAGAGATTGTTCGGTGAAATAAGGCTCGCATATTTTTCATTTACCGAACGCTGTTTCCGTTCGAACGTGACGCGCGCACACCTACGTCCCGACTATTTTACAGCGTTCCTCGCGTTGTTGCCCGCGAGAGTCGAGGAGAAATAATACGGAAGGGAAACCGTGCCTCGAACTACGCGGTTACCGCGACCGTTTTTCTTTCCTGGAAACGAGTTTTTCCAAGTTTTCAGCAGAACGGTGGCATTTTTTTTTTTTTTTTGTTACTTAGTTTTTATTTTATTTTCGACTCGTGATGGTTGAATTGAGAAAAGAAGAGAATTGAAAAACAGAAAGTAAGGAAATGGAGATTTACAGACGAGTATTATGAATGGTTTACCATTTTAAGAGCATCATTGAGGAATTTTTAAATTTTGTTAATTCTGCTTTATTTCAAATTCGTTTTGATTGATTTAAGAAGAAATGGAAAGTAAAGAAACTGGAGATAGAAATGGTGATTACATGATAAGTATTGCGAATGGTTTACTTTTTTAAGGACATCATTGGGGAATTTTTTAATTTTGAGGGAGAATGGTGAAATTTTTAGTTTTATTAGTTATATTTTCTTCGATTCTGAATTCATGACGATTAAATGACGGGAAAAGGGAACTGACAAATGGAAAGTACAGGAAACGAAGATAGAAATCGTGATTAAAAGATGAGTATTGCAAATGGTTTGGAATTTTTTGTTTCTTTGGTGTAAATATACAGTGTTTTTGCAACGACTGTTCCAAGTTTAAAGCGCTTTCTTGTTTGCAACACCTTCTTCCCCTTATATTCTCGCGAAAGTGTACGTATCACCTGCCTTTGGAATCGCGACCCATCAACTGCAACTCGCAGACGTCTCATCGGTCCCACGAGGGTTCAATATTTATCATCCTATCTTTCGTTCATTAAGCTATCAGCCGTCATTAACGTGCGATAAATTATTTCCACGTTTCTTTCGAGTCCCGCGCATTATTCATTTTCATTATATTACAATGCCGATTCTAACGAGAGTCCGCCAACGTTAGAACAGCAGCTTTTACCCAGCAACAATCTACCGCGTACGAGCACCGTTCATTAGTTAGGCCCGATTAATATCCCGCGGTAATTACGTATTAATGGAATCACAAAATATCGAGCGCGACTTTCACCTGTTTTGGTTAATAAGCGTGTAATTATTGGGAAGGGTCGATCGATGGATCATTTTCATTGACTAATTGAACGTCCTGATCGACTCGTGATCGAAGATGAGAAATGTGAGGAACTGGAAGATACGGAGAACTGGAGGAAATTAGAAAAAAGTAAGAAATTGGTAATCGAGAGAACGAAAAATTGAGGAAAAATATGGAAAATCAGAAATAATAGAAAATTTAGAAGAAAGTGTAAGATTGGGAAATTAAGAAATCGAAAGAAGTGAGACATCGAAAATAATATAAATTGAAAGAAAAAATGAGAAACAATGAAAAAATTGGAAGAAATTAAAGGCGGAACAATCATAAAATCATACAATAGTAATCTAGACTGAATATCTGAAACCGCCTATTAGGAATTTAGAATAGAGAATTAGAAACCTAAAATAATTGTTCCTAGTTACGTATTACGGATCTAGAATAAAGACCTGAAATCACTTATTAGAAATCTAGAATAGAAAAATTGGGAACTTAAAATAGTTGTTCCCGATCATGTATTAAAAATCATAAATAAAGATCTGAAATCACTTATTATGAATTTAGAATAGAAAATTGGGAACTTAAAATAGTTGTTAGTAATCACGTATCAAAAATCTTAAATCGCTTACTAGTTGTCTAGAATAAAAAAATTGGGAATTTTTGGAATTGAAATCAAAAATTGGAAAACGATTTTCAGATACCGGGAATGTTGAGCGGCCCAGCACAACAGCGACTGGAGGACATGTCCTGGCTGGCTTCCGGTCCGTCGCTGGAATATCAACAAGGCATCTCGCCGATTCCCGCAGGAGTGAAGATGTGCCATCCAGGCAGCACGGCCCAGAGGAGCCTGAAGGAGCAACGGATACGTCGCCCGATGAACGCGTTCATGGTCTGGGCAAAGGTCGAGCGCAAGAAATTGGCCGACGAGAATCCCGATCTCCACAACGCCGATCTCAGCAAGATGCTCGGTAAGTTCACCTTCGATATTCGCTCGACTTTCTGCCTGGCTTCTTTCTTACTTTCGACAGTTTCAAATTCATCTCTTATAGCAAACGAAATATTATCTGAAATTTTTCTACACCATAGATCACTCGGATCGTTCAAACTTTCAGCTGTTTTAAATATCAAACTTTTTTTAGTTTATGTTTACTTTTAAACATTCTTTTATTGTGCATTTTTAATATGGGCAAAATTTTGGGAAAAGTTTTTGTTTTACTTTACTGCACCGTATGTTTAGTTTTTATTCAAAGTGATATTTTAATTCACTTTAATGATACTTTAAAACAAATGATGTTTAATGAAATAACGACTATCTATGCTTTGTTGCATTTTTCTCATTTCAAGGTATATTTTTTTGTACGAGAAAGTACAAGGATTATGGGAAATGAAATTTAAGAGTACCACTGATTTACAATAAAATGCAAAGTGGAATATTACAAACTTTAAATTGATCTCTTTACACAAGGGAATATTCTGTGGAATATTTATAGACATTAGAAAAGTCTTATTTGGGTTTTGCAATTTTATTTGCATAGAAAAATAACGAGGGCATAATTAATCTTTTTTCATAAACAACAGGGCAATATTATACAGGAAAAAGTAGGTCTACATATATTTAGTATATCGTTATAAATGATATGCTTATAAGTAAATAAACTCGAGTAAAACAACGCTGATATTTTCATTGTATGAACACGCGATGAATATATCTGATTCGATGATCGAGCAACGTCTAATGAAGTGGGTTACTGAATATTAAATAAAAGGAAGAAGCGTGTTTTAAATAGAGACAGAAGCATCGGCGTAGAAAAAGCGTTTTTCTCTTGGAAAGGGGTCGCGAGACAGCTCTGGGAATAAGAAAGTCGGAAAACTCTCTTCGTGCCGGTGTGTTGTTATTAATTTAATTACTCGTCACGTGATCAACGTGAATAGAGATACAAACAGGCAGAGAAAACGCAATAATCACGTCAAACGAATTTTCCTCGCGATGAAACTTCCGTTTACTTCGTTAAAAAGACTGCACAGACTAAATTATTCTTTTATTTTGTTAGATTAAGTAATACGTTTGTTCACCTCTCGAGAAATAACGAGATTGAGAAATATATACGATACGAGACATTGTCGATATCTTGAATATTTCACAAAAATCAGTCTCTTTGCATGTTTGATTTTTATTTATTCTAAATTTTACAAAATTTTATCGAGAGAAAATTATTTCAAAATACGTAAAAGGAAGAAGTAAAAATACGCATGTTCCAGTTTTTAGTAATAAAATGAACAAATTACTCGGCAAATGGTAGAAAGTAATAGGATAAAATGTCTATATATCGTTAATTATGTATGTTTTATAAAACAAAAAAAGGTAATAATAATAATTAATGCTTTTCTAAGAAGATATGAATAACTTAATATTTACTGGAAGTAATTCTGTTCGCTTCGAATCTGTAATGAGCTCGATAGAAATGACGGCGGAAATAAAAGAACTGCAAAAGTTAGACGAAGATGGCGGTTCTATGGTCTTTCTTCTCATTCAGTCGTTTTAATTAGACTTGCGCGAGCAAGCATGGTCGAATGTTTCGAGGTGACTATTTCCCGTGGCTATAAGCACGCAGTTTTATGCCCATCGGAGAAAATTACAAAGATATCGAGTAGCGCAATTTAATACGTCGTAAATTCACCGTTGCGACTGGACGTGTGCTCGCTTCCTTACGTAGGTGCCAACGTAGTGCATTAATATTAAAAGGCATATGCGCGATTGGAAGTCAAGAGGTTGAGCCTTCCATCGTCGTCGCGATTTTTTCGATTAAAGCTTCTC